TCAGCGAGCACTAGGGAATGGCTTTTCGCCCGAACTGGATGGCAGCATAAGGGTAATTAGCTTCATGAACGACGTGGGGAGAATCAACTTGGGTTCTGATCCTCCTGCGAGTGTGCCTCCGCTGCGGATTAAGCTAAGGGAAGGAGCAAAACCGTACCGGTGCAAGCCACGCAAGTACCCGCCACATCTGAGAAGGTTTCTACAAGACTTTAACGAGGAGCTTGTGAAGCTTGGGTGGGTGTTCGAGTACCCCAACAGCAGGTGGGCGTGTCCGGCAGTACCAGTGAAGAAGCCCGGCTCATCAGAATACAGGTAAACGAACGACTATATTCCTGCGAACGCAATGGCAGAGTCGCTGGCGGGTCGGATGCCCATTCTCCAGCTCATAACGGAACATATGAGGGATTTGAAGCATTTTGGACGGTTTGATTTCATACGTGGATTCTGGCAATTGCCACTGGAGGAGGCGTGGCGTGAAATCTTGTCATACATGGCCGATCAGAAAATTTACACCGCCACACGCGTGCCTCAAGAATGCAGTGATGCAGCAATGTATTTCCAGGAGATGCATCGGCAGATGAAGTACCAGCGAGCAAAGCAGTCACTACTGAACCTAAACCAAAAGCGTGGTGGGCAACCGGTTAACTTTTCCGTGGGTGACTACGTGTTGAAGTTCCGTGTTGATGAGAAGGTTTGCAATAAGTTGCTTGTCACGTGGATTTGACCGTTTGTCATCACACCTGCTGACTCACACTCGTTTCGTGTGAAAAATTTTATCAACGGCAAGGAGAGTGAGGTACACGCATCTCGACTCAAGCTCTATTCGGATAAAGACTTAAGCGTAAGCGAAGAGCTTCTGGAACACGTAGCATCGTACTCAAAGTGGACAACATCTGTGGTCATCGTTGGAACTACAGATTCAAGAACTACGAGTTGTTGGTGCATTGGCATGATTTAGAGGAAATTAAAGATTCGTGGGAGCCCATGCAGTCTATGCACAAGGCCGTGAGGATCATGGTGGAGACTTACGCAAAATAGACCCATGATAACGACTTCATGGCAGCAGTGGTATCAAGCTAGCTACATCATGACGGACGAGTACTGGAGAACTACGCAGTAAACTCAGGCAGCGAAGGACATCGACAGGTCGATGCTCCAAGGCCACTGAAATGTTGAAACCCGATTGTGACGGACTGCATTTGGCGAGATTAGCCACGGGGGGGGGGCTGTAGTAGGGGATGGCCTAGATGTAGAGCCAAATCTCGCTCACAGGAGTGTACTGGCGATCGGACACCAAGTATATTAGCTGGCGGTTAGGAATTCAACACGATAGTTCATGGTTGAATTAGGAACGGGTTCTAGCTGAAGGCAACTAAAAGAAGTGTTAGTTTAGCGGAAAGGAAGTGCAGCAACCAAGGCGTTGCTCACTTTTCCATTTGCTCGACGGAGCTCACTGGGAATATAATCGGCGTACTAGATTTTGGAAGTGGCAGCTTCCCCAATTGGAATGTGTTTGTTAACGAAACCCACTACAACTCTTTCGACTACGCCACATTAACGATAGAATCATCCTTCGTGGAACTTTGACTACTCATTCTCTCGATGAACTTTGAGCAGCTACCAAGAATTAACCAGCAACCTTCGAAGATAAAGCATGATTCTTGCTGTTCTGTGTATAGCATCGCGCGTCATTTAAAACGTCAGCCTCACTCTTGCCTGAGTCGTTCCGAGCCTTCACAACGCTGTGACAGCCGACAAATTTGGCTACATCATGAGAGATACTCGACGAGCTATTGTGCGTGCTGTGGCGGAGCGAGAGTACTCCTGGTTAACTGATTTTGTAGCAGCCTTGAATGACTCCCAAACTGAATTGCAAAAGGAAGATGTCTTCTGTTCCGTGTCGTTAATGGCATGCTGTGATATGTCTAGGTACAATCGGACCAATGCTTCACATTGAAAGCTCTTCCACTTGCGGCCGCGACCCATTGACTGGAGATGCTCTTATAAACTTGTAGACTGAGAGGTGTGGCTCCCTCGCCTGGGCGTCCGCTACAAAACATCTCAAGTCGCTTGTGGACAGGTGATTGCGGGCTACTTGTGCTCCGAATAGCTCACCAATCCGTAAGTTATTAGCTCAGATAGCTATAGAGCACTGACTGAATTACAATTCGCTAGTTTAAATAGACGGCTAGGTAACTTATATCGTCGGATACCAATAGAGCACCGACTGGGCAAATATGTGCTTTTTAACGCTCTATTTGGTATTTACGCCCTCTGGAGATGCTTTGCGTCATCGTAAATGAAAGTAAAAAATAGTTATTCCCTTATATTTAGCTAAATATTTGTCTGAATCCACCTGTATATATTGTAATCGATGTGGCCACCAGGCTACACCAGCAAACAATGGCTTATGTTTGCGCTGGTAAATCCATTCCGTATTTCAAACCATATTCTATACTAAATCCGCTTCCTTTCTGTTAATTCCAAATAAAATACCCCCACTTAAGGGTATTTATACTGGTGCATTGGGAGAATACCAGTATGCACCGAGGACTCGTTTAGGACGTACCACTCTGTTCCATCTCAAATCTAACACTTCTCCTTTGCTGGTATATTTATTAAACTAATGGTGTGATTTAGCTAAACGAGCCTACTACGGAAAGCCCTGCCTTAGCTCTATAAAGCAGTATTTTTTTGGTAGATCATAGTCAAACAGCAACGAAGTACAGAGCAAAAGAGCGTCATTCGTTTTGACGAGGTGGACGTCTGGTTTCGCAGTGGGCTTCCCAGTGTTGGAAAATTGCTGAGGTTTCCAGAAGAGATCGATTTTGTTACGGTCTTACAAGATGTGAAAATAGTTCTTTAAAAGCTGCTGTCTGTGCCGCGTTTGCCTGAAAAACGCTTTTGACCAATTACATCTATGTATTTACAATCTGACAAATTTTAGATCTCGCAAAAGGTGAAAATAAATAAAACAAGGTGTGTAGAAAAGTGTTCATCATAAAATAAAAGATACTAATTTTAAGTTGGTGGCCCTTCATTTTTTAAGGTGTCTCCTGGCCCTTTTTGCCAAAGGGTCGCAAGGCAATTGGAAGCACTCCGTTGCGAATGTGATGCTTCGAAACTCGGGGGAGTTTGTATGTATCACACGCAATGACAGATTCTGGTATTTTTTGTGCTGTCAAAAAGCACTTATCTATAGTCCTACTAGAAAGATCACAGTAAGTTTTTTCAGCTTCCGCAATTAAAGCATCGATCTTGTACGCTGGTGTGCGGTATTGAGCCGACTGTAGCAAGTTAAACAGACCCAATTCGAGTACGTTCATATCGGGCGACTTAGCTGGATGGTATTTGATAGCGATGTTGACAACATCAACATTTGTTGTGCCTGCCGTTAGAGCGATCAGACGGCAGCACATCATGCTTATCTGCACAGCTGACACGTATTATGTAGCTGGTAACCACAAATTAGAAAATAGCAAATCTCTATTCTTAGCCTAATAATAGCCAATGATATCATTTATTTTTGTGCGGTCGCTCGTTGCGTTAGATTTGAGATGGAACAGAGTAGTATTATCTTCTTACTTTACATATTAATACACACTTTAGTCTAACACTATCGTCCAATAGGATAACAACGGAGACGGCGCAGGCGGCTGGATCAAAATTCCAAGAAGCTAATCGAGTAGACGCACGAGTGCGTCAAAGCTTTAAATAGCTACTAATAGGTGTCGTTCAGCGAAGCAAGAACTTTCGCAACAGTACAAATTTAACTTCATACGTCCGCGTGCAATTTGATGACCGTGTTTGCATATAATCACACTTTCGTGTGTCAGCGTACAATTAGATGACTGTGTTCGCGTAAAATCACACTTTTCGTGTGTCAGAGTACAATTTGGTTGTCTCGATCACATCCATAAACTGCTTTAAAACGGGCAGTTGTCGCCTCATTAAGGGCGGTCGCTGTCTAATCAACGCTTAGAAAACAATTGCTTACAGCAGTAGCACATATGAGTTCTCATTGTTCAATCTACAACTACTATCTTTATCGATCAAGCGACAACGTTTATTAGCACAGCGTCGCTCTTAAGACCGGTTCCTACGGCCAGCTTATGTTGAACATGTACTGCAATTTGGCAGTTCAGTGAGCTACCTCACACTCAGTTATTTTCTTGATATTTGTACAACAAAACAGTCATAGTTATTATTTTAGTCATTGTCACTTGCAGAAACTATTGAGTACATGCACAATATATTAATATTATGCCCTCAGAAACACGCATTCTTACGTGTACGCTAACAGCCTTATCCAAATAGAAAATTGATCATTTTTCTTACTATTATTTCTCTGAAGTAGCCCTATGAAACCGAGGCGCTAATTAGACGTAGCTCGCAATTAGTCGTGAATTTGCACTTTAGTGACAGCCCATATTCGAGATATTTGACAAATATGATCAGATCTAAAGAAAAGACCGGCTTTGAGCTTGTCTCATCTGCCTATTTGCTCCAGTATGCCAGGGCTATATCAGGACGAACGTACACCGCTGGTAGACGCGTTGGTGTTCCGCTAAAACCGAACTGAGCAGCATAGTAGACACATGCTCAGTCAGCTGAATATAAATCATGTTGTTCCCCGATGCATCAACTAGATAGGTTCCGGCATTCACCGGAGCGGTTTGAATGCTCCGACTGATATCCGTATACGTACAAATACCATAAGGAAGAACGATTGAGATTATAGATGTTGTACCAGCGGTTGGTAGCTCCAATCTGAACAATTTATTCTAAAATTGACATGAATCAATATTATACTTTACAATATACATAGACATCGATTGAACGGCGCACGTAATGTCCTTGAAATCGGTCACGGAGCCAGACAACTAATACTTCCATGAGCTATTGTATCCATCCTGGACTAGATTCGTCGAATCAAGCTCAACAAAAGACGCACACATTTTGGCTATATTCTTGGATACATTTTATCCTGATATCAATAATTACACCTCCGTTTGGATAGGACTATGGAAATTGTATCGCAATTCCCCTCTTACACTACCGCAACGCAAAATTTGTCCTTTTCTTTCAGCAGCGCGGTTGTAGTAATGGACGATCGATCGCTCATCATACCCGGGAATGTTAAAATCCTTGACAACCATTGCTAAATCTCTTTTTGAAATGGCTTTTAGGATAGCCACGTACGTTCAATTCAATCGGATCATCTTATCGGTAGCAAGTAGCTATGACTAGGGAAAATGGTACCTAACTTGCCGTGACGTTGTCGGGTCATATAGTGAGAGAATAGATTCTTCTCAGCTAGCTTATCGTTACTGTAGTCATCAATGATGACCAACTCTGGTTTTTTTAAGCTCAATTGAGCTCGTCGTACCTGATCGACGCTCGGTGGTAAGTCAGGATTAGCAAAAATTATAAATTTACCCATCTCATCTTTGAGATAATCATATAGTTCCTGATGTGGATTACGAGCAATGATCGTGAGATGGGCAAATACACGAGGAGCGTTCTTTAGAATAAATAAATAAAGGTTGTTATTTTTGCTTAACGATGGACCTAAAACGATCATCCTAAGCGAATATTTGATACCTAAAGCTGGGATATCCCCCATTGCGGCTGAGTTGAATTTCGTTGGAAGCAAACCTTCATAATCAGGGATGCTCATCGTCTTTATCGTGTACTATCTAGCCACAGACAAAATGAGCTCTTGGTTTTTATATCCAGTTCCAGTATTCAATTCGAGTATATACAATCCCGCATTCTATCTCTTGTTGGATGCAAACAGGTTTCTAATGAATATGCTCAGGCACCTTTTTTTATCGAGGAACGACTATCGACTTTCATACATCAGCGGGATCGCTCCTGGTATACCAAGACAAGGTGTAGCTCTTGTTCCAGGAACTAGTAATAGTATTAGCGGCATTGGTGCTCTAAGCGGCTCCTCTCTCACGGTTAATGGATCATCATTCACTGTTCACTGCAGCTCCTGATTAAATGGTTGCCATAACGCATGGATCGACATCAACTAGTAAAGCTTTGGTTCTTAACGCATCAGGTAATATCACTGGTATTAACGCCTTATCAGCAACAAGCTTAACTGGAACGCTGCAGACAGTTAGTCAGCGTAAATCATTTCGTTGGGTACACTAACCGGATTGGCGTACGGGCTGAAGCCCGAGAAGCGTAGTTCTCGATCATCGAGCGTTTTTTTTGTTTCTGGATACAGTGAGCGACAATCGCGAGGAGTCGGAGAAGATGCTGAAGATGCGTGGTGACTGGTGTTTGATATCGCTTCGTTTGTTCAATGAATAAATGCGCGTGCGTTTATTGCGCTTTGGCGTGTTGATGTGTTTTTGTGTGTAGCTTGTGTTTGGTGTGGTGTTGAGTACAAGGATTGTATTTAGGTAGAGCGCTTGTGGTGCTGTCCTGGGGATGTAGCTCAAATGGTAGAGCGCTCGCTTAGCATGCGAGAGGTACAGGGATCGATACCCTGCTTCTCCATTGATCATGATACTGTGATAAAATCAGTTGGCATCAGCACTTTCCCAAATGTGCACTTCGTAGTTTGTCTGCGACATCGGCTGACCTTGAGTAACATTTTCTTTTGATTGCTTTTTTGCTTCTTGCCTGCCGTCCTGTCTATCGCCCATCTGATTGTCTCCCGTTGATATCACTGACGGTTCCACGACACGCTTGTATTGGCGTTCCGTTGTTTGTCTATCGATTAATCCTTTGACACGCTCCTTGATTCTGCCATAACATCGTGATACTTCCGTCCAGCTACTAGCTGCCTGAATACCACCAATAAGGTTTGCTTGTCGCTGACAGTTTATTGCTTCTGAGGTTAGTGCTGAGCTGTATCAGACTGACATCATTGATAGCAGCAAATACCAGCAAACACCAGCGCAAGCGTTCTGCCGAACCAGGCGTCGACGATCAACGACACTATCTTTCAGAAAGTAAATGGCAAGACTGTTGAGTATTCAAGCAAACCAGGGGCACCACTGGCGCCCCACACAGATGTCTGGATGCAGTGAGCGACAACCGCGAGGAGTCCGAGAAGATGCTGAAGATGCGTGGTGACTGGTGTTTGATATCGCTTCGTTTGTTCAATGAATCAATGCGTGTGCGTTTATTGCGCTTTGGCGTGTTGATGTGTGTTTGTGTGTAGCTTGTGTTTGGTGTGGTGTTGAGTACAAGGATTGTATTTAGGTAGAGCGCTTGTGGTGCTGTCCTGGGGATGTAGCTCAAATGGTAGAGCGCTCGCTTAGCATGCGAGAGGTACAGGGATCGATACCCTGCTTCTCCATTGATCATGTTACTGTGATAAAATCAGTTGGCATCAGCACTTTCCCAAATGTGCACTTCGTAGTTTGTCTGCGACATCGGCTGACCTTGAGTAACATTTTCTTTTGATTGTTTTTTTTGCTTCTTGCCTGCCGTCCTGTCTATCGTCCATCTGATTGTCTCCCGTTGATATCACTGACGGTTCCACGCCACGCTTGTATTGGCGTTCCGTTGTTTGTCTATCGATTAATCCTTTGACACGCTCCTTGATTCTGCCATAACATCGTGACACTTCCGTCCAGCTACTAGCTGCCTGAATACCACCAATAAGGTTTGCTTGTCGCTGACAGTTTATTGCTTCTGAGGTTAGTGATGAGCTGTATCAGACTGACATCATTGATAGCAGCAAATACCAGCAAACACCAGCGCAAGCGTTCTGCCGAACCAGGCGTCGACGATCAACGACACTATCTTTCAGAAAGTAAATGGCAAGACTGTTGAGTATTCAAGCAAACCAGGGGCACCACTGGCGCCCCACACAGATGTCTGGATGCAGTGAGCGACAACCGCGAGGAGTCCGAGAAGATGCTGAAGATGCGTGGCGACTGGTGTTTGATATCGCTTCGTTTGTTCAATGAATCAATGCGTGTGCGTTTATTGCGCTTTGGCGTGTTGATGTGTGTTTGTGTGTAGCTTGTGTTTGGTGTGGTGTTGAGTACAAGGATTGTATTTAGGTAGAGCGCTTGTGGTGCTGTCCTGGGGATGTAGCTCAAATGGTAGAGCGCTCGCTTAGCATGCGAGAGGTACAGGGATCGATACCCTGCTTCTCCATTGATCATGTTACTGTGATAAAATCAGTTGGCATCAGCACTTTCCCAAATGTGCACTTCGTAGTTTGTCTGCGACATCGGCTGACCTTGAGTAACATTTTCTTTTGATTGCTTTTTTGCTTCTTGCCTGCCGTCCTGTCTTTCGTCCATCTGATTGTCTCCCGTTGATATCACTGACGGTTCCACGACACGCTTGTATTGGCGTTCCGTTGTTTGTCTATCGATTAATCCTTTGACACGCTCCTTGATTCTGCCATAACATCGTGACACTTCCGTCCAGCTACTAGCTGCCTGAATACCACCAATAAGTTTTGCTTGTCGCTGACAGTTTATTGCTTGTGGGGTTAGTGCTGAGCTGTATCAGACTGACATCATTGATAGCAGCAAATACCAGCAAATACCAGCAAACACCAGCGCAAGCGTTCTGCCGAACCAGGCGTCGACGATCAACGACACTATCTTTCAGAAAGTAAATGGCAAGAATGTTGAGTATTCAAGCAAACCAGGGGCACCACTGGCGCCCCACAAAGATGTCTGGATACAGTGAGCGACAACCGCGAGGAGTCGGAGAAGATGCTGAAGATGCGTGGTGACTGGTGTTTGATATCGCTTCGTTTGGTCAATGAATCAATGCGTGTGCGTTTATTGCGCTTTGGCGTGTTGATGTGTTTTTGTGTGTAGCTTGTGTTTGGTGTGGTGTTGAGTACAAGGATTGTATTTAGGTAGAGCGCTTGTGGTGCTGTCCTGGGGATGTAGCTCAAATGGTAGAGCGCTCGCTTAGCATGCGAGAGGTACAAGGATCGATACCCTGCTTCTTCTTTGATCATGTTACTGTGATAAATCAGTTGGCATCAGCACTTTCCCAAATGTGCACTTCGTAGTTTGTGTGCGACATCGGCTGACCTTGAGTAACATTTTCTTTTGATTGCTTTTTTGCTTCTTGCCTGCCGTCCTGTCTATCGTCCATTTGATTGTCTCCCGTTGATATCACTGACGGTTCCACGACACGCTTGTATTGGCGTTCCGTTGTTTGTCTATCGATTAATCCTTTGACACGCTCCTGGATTCTGCCATAACATCGTGATACTTCCGTCCAGCTACTAGCTGCCTGAATACCACCAATAAGTTTTGCTTGTCGCTGACAGTTTATTGCTTCTGAGGTTAGTGCTGAGCTGTATCAGACTGACATCATTGATAGCAGCAAATACCAGCAAACACCAGCGCAAGCGTTCTGCCGAACCAGGCGTCGACGATCAACGACACTATCTTTCAGAAAGTAAATGGCAAGACTGTTGAGTATTCAAGCAAACCAGGGGCACCACTGGCGCCCCACACAGATGTCTGGATACAGTGAGCGACAATCGCGAGGAGTCGGAGAAGATGCTGAAGATGCGTGGTGACTGGTGTTTGATATCGCTTCGTTTGTTCAATGAATCAATGCGTGCGCGTTTATTGCGCTTTGGCGTGTTGATGTGTGTTTGTGTGTAGCTTGTGTTTGGTGTGGTGCTGAGTACAAGGATTGTATTTAGGTAGAGCGCTTGTGGTGCTGTCCTGGGGATGTAGCTCAAATGGTAGAGCGCTCGCTTAGCATGCGATAGGTACAGGGATCTATACCCTGCTTCTCCATTGATCATGTTACTGTGATAAAATCAGTTGGCATCAGCACTTTCCCAAATGTGCACTTCGTAGTTTGTCTGCGACATCGGCTGACCTTGAGTAACATTTTCTTTTGATTGCTTTTTTGCTTCTTGCCTGCCGTCCTGTCTATCGTCCATCTGATTGTCTCCCGTTGATATCACTGACGGTTCCACGACACGCTTGTATTGGCGTTCCGTTGTTTGTCTATCGATTAATCCTTTGACACGCTCCTTGATTCTGCCATAACATCGTGACACTTCCGTCCAGCTACTAGCTGCCTGAATACCACCAATAAGTTTTGCTTGTCGCTGACAGTTTATTGCTTCTGGGGGTAGTGCTGAGCTGTATCAGACTGACATCATTGATAGCAGCAAATACCAGCACACACCAGCGCAAGCGTTCTGCCGAACCAGGCGTCGACGATCAACGACACTATCTTTCAGAAAGTAAATGGCAAGACTGTTGAGTATTCAAGCAAACCAGGGGCACCACTGGCGCCCCACAAAGATGTCTGGATACAGTGAGCGACAACCGCGAGGAGTCGGAGAAGATGCTGAAGATGCGTGGTGACTGGTGTTTGATATCGCTTCGTTTGTTCAACGAATCAATGCGTGTGCGTTTATTGCGCTTTGGCGTGTTGATGTGTTTTTGTGTGTAGCTTGTGTTTGGTGTGGTGCTGAGTACAAGGATTGTATTTAGGTAGAGCGCTTGTGGTGCTGTCCTGGGGATGTAGCTCAAATGGTAGAGCGCTCGCTTAGCATGCGAGAGGTACAGGGATCGATACCCTGCTTCTCCATTGATCATGTTACTGTGATAAAATCAGTTGGCATCAGCACTTTCCCAAATGTGCACTTCGTAGTTTGTCTGCGACATCGGCTGACCTTGAGTAACATTTTCTTTTGATTGCTTT